TCATAATGTGAAAATTATGAAAGCTATACTGTAATTTGTCTTAAATTATGACAATTATTATCATTGCTTCTTCAACTGAAATAATACAAATAATTTCCCCCCTACTGGCTATTCTCTGAAGATTTCTCATTATATGACAGAAAATCTTTTAAGTGAAATACTAGAAATCAAAATAACCGGTACATCTAATAAAGTCTGATGTATATTTAACATGATGTATATTTAACATCAAAAGATTTTACATATAGTTCTTACAAGTACCCTGTAAAACAGAACAATATAAAATATATCATAATAAAAATTATTCAAGACTATCATGATTATATATTTACACATATCTATACATACACACACATACACATATGCACATTATCATGACCAATTTGAAATTTAATAATAGATTTATTTCCTAAGAAAAGATGCAGATTTAATACCACAAAAACCAATGGGTTAGATCTATGGCAGGAAGGCGGAAAGGTTAAAGTTTTCTTCAATTCCTCCTTCTTCTACACACAATTCCTGCAAAATTCTGTTCCTGTGGCCTGAAATGTGCAAACTGGAATTGGAGAATAAATGTAAAAAGGGGGGTTGGGTGCTATTCTGCTATTTCTCTAGCAGGAAATCTATAATTGATCCATAATTCCTTTTGCAAATGTTCACAGAAGGACTTAGTTCCACTCAAAACAAAGAGAGCTGAAACAAATAATTGCAACAAATATCCCTTATACCAGGGCTTTTCAACCTTTTCACCCATTGTACCACTTTTAGGATATGGCAACATCCGAGTACCACCAGTCGCCTAGCAAGGTGTCAAAAACTTGATGACCAAAAAAAAAAAAAAAAGGAAAAAAGTGATGAAGTATAGGTAGTCTCGACTTACAACAGTTCGCTTAGTGACTGTTCGAAGTTACAATGGCACTGAAAAAAGTGCCCCCCAAGCCACAGCCGAGCAAGACACCTGCCTGCCCGCCCGGCTGTGCTCTTCTTCCTGTCCGAGGTTTTCATTGTTGTGAGCATTTCTGTTGAGGATTGGCAGTGGGGATGTTTGGTTTTTATTCCCCCCATCTGCTGGGTAGTTGCAGCAGGTTTTGATCACTTCACATGACCCTGGGACACTGTGACCGTCATAAATATGAATCAGTTGCCACGCATCTGAATGTAAATCACAAGACCCTGGAGATGCTGCAACATTCCAGCTGATCGGTGCTTCTTCTGGGGTCAGCAGAAGCACCAGGATCAGCGCTGAGCTCCAGCTGGAGCCTGGCGCTGATCCTGGCACTTCCACTGAGCCGACAGCCCCAAAGAAGCACTGATCCTGGTGCTTCCACAGAGCCCTGACAGCCCTGCAGCTCCAGCCATCTCACTCAGGTTTATACGGTACTGCCACTGGTTCAGCTCATTCCCCTCTCCCGCTACCACTTTTCTAGGATGATCGCGTACCATCTGCCAGGTACCAATGTACCACAGGTGGTACCTGTACCACTGGTTGAAAAGCCTTGCCTTATACCAGCAAATTATATTGGAAAGCTATGGAATTTTATAAGACTATATGAAACTGTATCCCATTGTTAACATTTTCTAATTAAAATAAAGTTATTCTAATTTCATCAAAAATTGTATTTCTGCAAACGTTACTTTTTCATAAATTTTGTTATTTTAGATATTCTCACCCTTTAACAAATTCACAGGGCAGCAAACAGGACTTAAATTGACAATAAACCAAGTAAAACAAAAACCTAGAATTCTCCAGAAGCAGAATTAAGAATGTTCAGAAAACTAAAAGCCAGGGAAAACAAGGACTTTGCCTGATGTTGAAATGATGCTTAAAATATATCTTCAGCTGGACAAATCTAGGAAGAGCATTCCAAAATGCAGGTTCCACCCTTGACCTTTGCAGAAATCCACATCTCAGACACTGAGAACCCACTAAAAGACTATTAGAAGGCAGACTTATGACAAACAGTGTTATTTGGACTTTAGCTCCAAATAATGTTTTTTAACAGATGCATTATTTGTTCTTTCCCAAACCATTCAAAAGTGGCCTGAATAATTTACATTTGATTGTAATGTAAAAAGTAGGTACACTTAACAGTCATTTGTGATCAAAGCAGATAGAAAAGGAAACCAGTCATAACACAACATGTATTAATGTCCATCACTCATACCTGCCCCCAAATGATAGTGATCTCTAAACCTAGCTTCAATAGCACACCAGCTGAAGCAAGGACCTGTCAAGTATATTAAAGGCAGAGCAACTAACAGTAAATCTTAAGATTTTGTACTTGGCCTGTCACCAAGGCCTTTAGTGCCAGAATGAATAGAACAAAGATGAGGATGAGTTTAGATAATGATGCAAACTTTTATTTTTGACTCTCGGAGGTGGTTCAACAATAAAGTCACTCATTGCCACTCCTAAAAACACATTTGTTATTACTAATTTTAATAGAAAGCAACAAATAATTAAGGGATCTCTCACTTAAATAGAATGGAACAATTTCCGGTGAGCTCAAGATTGCACAGGCTTTATGCCTAACTCAGTGGAATCATGCTGAAGAAAGCCAAGCCGGAGGATGAATGCCACTATGTCATCAGTCACTGTCCCTGATTTCACACAATACTTATTATATCTGCCAAATGTTCAGCTAGGAGTCATATCAAGAACTCTCTAAAATAAATTGTTTTACTGGCAAGATGCTACTTTTATATATGGAGTATCATGGATACTGTTTACATACCATATCCTTTTTCAAAGCTGGAATATCAGGCAGTAAAACAAGTCATTTTCCTCAGGAGTATGCAAGACTATGGTTATTTTCTACTGTTTAATACTTATGAAGGTCACAGCTAGCATATTGAGGGATTATCAAAATATTATCAGAATGAAGACTCATACAAAGCCCTCAACAACAAAAACCTCAAAAAAATCTGAGAATGTATGAAGAAAACTGCACCATCACATGAAGGCTTATTAGATATATTAAAAATTGCTTGAAGTCTACAATTATGACCAAACCCAACTCTGTCTTCTTAAAAGCCTTTGTGTCTATGAATATTTGAAAGGTGTATGTCATTAAAAAAAAAACTAAAAGTATGGTAAGATTTCCATTGGCTGGGACATAATTCCTTGCCCCTCCCTATGTCTAAATTATCTAAAAATGTATACCAATGAAATATTTTGCATACTATATAGGTGTTCATATTACTAAAATCTTACTTAGGCAATTTGTGTCCATCACATAATAATAGTTAAGTAAATAATAGACAAAACATGCAAGCTTACTAGGTATTTCTCAGTGTTAAATATTTTCACTGTTGCATTAGAAAAGGTAACATAAGTCTAAATAAAAGAATTAAATTTTGATGGTAGCCTCATTTAGGGAGCAGACTTTTGAGGATGCTTCTGGTGCTCACTGCATGTTAGGAATTCTATTAATAGAATTCAGTGTTGCTTATCTTAGGCTTTGGCACCTTGTGGTCTCTTTAAAGGTTGCCAAGGGAAAAGATTTTGAAAGTCACAAGTATCACAGCAAGTCAAGTACAGGATACATTAAAGCAAAAAATGAACCCCAAACAGCCTGTAATTTTAAAATATTTTATTAGTTTAGCAGCATGTTAATTATTTGAGGTCATTGACAACTATTCCTTATGGATTTTTCATATTCTGCAATATTAACTTCAAATTAATGTTTTATTTTAGAACCCTAAGAGTTATATTAAGGAAGAATCAATAGAGAAAATACTCTATATACTGTATATTGTGACAGGTATTTTTTACTGAGGTATATTTCATCAGAAATAATATTTCCTACTGGAAGTAAACACAAATCAGGATAATTTGATATCAAAAATTCTTGTACACTTCTCCATTTAAAGCATGTTACTAAACTAACCTGACCTTGCTCATTTCAAAACAAACAAAAGAAAAAAGAAAAAAACCTCTTTTCTATATTTTTCATCCTTTTGATGATGAAAGCAAAGACACAATAACTTTAGACTAGTCAAATGTATCTTCCCCTGCAGATTCAAGATTAGAGTATAAAATGTGTATTAGTAAATTGCAGTCTGTATTTGAGTGAGAATTATTATTTGGGTAGCAAAAGTTTTCTAGATAAGAAAACCACAATAATCCTAGCAACATAAATAACTGACAAACAAAAGACTGTTGGGGTTATATTATAGGGGTTAATTCATACTACATAGCCACAGGAAGAGTACTTTTGTTTATATGGCAAAGGTTTTTTTAGATTAAGTTCAAGTAAAACAGCCAAGAAACAAATAACAGAAGAACTGATGTCTAATATCTGCTGCATTGTCATTACTATGCAACTAAGTATGTATAGGTAGAGATCTTGTTTACTCTTAGTTGAACTGTTCACAGGCATAAGCCTAAACTGGGCTGTCCATTTCACCTAGATGACTTTTCATGTCATCTAGGAAGGAAAGGAAATACTGGATGGGCAGGAGAACAATCTGGTGACTATGGAGAGTCCCATCAATCTTCCCAAGGAAGGAAGCAATACAACAGTATTAAGTCTAATGGTGATTGAACAATTTCAGGACTTACAGAAAGGAGCCCTGGGAAAGGGGGGAGCAGGGTAAAAAGACAAATTAAAGGAAAAACAACAGGTTCATTCGCTGAATTAATCCTCTCCACTTATCTGAGAAACCATCCTCCACAATCTTAAGCCTTATCTACAGCCTATTACCCTACGCCAGCCATCTCAGCCCAGACTCTCCACATGTACTGGGCAACAGCTACCCTAAGCCCCAGCAGTACAGGACTTGCTTGCAACCCGTCCGAAGGGCACCCCAAGCACAAGCAAAGGACTGGGCAACGATCTCTCATCCCTTGCTCTGGACTGATAAATCCCCGGAGAGTCCAGGGATGACGAAGAAGGGAGAAAAGCGACCACTTGCATACAGCCGCGCTCTCGCCCTCTCCATCCCCGGCAGATTTGGGGCGTCGAGGTGTTGGGTGCAGGTGCTCCGCCCTGGGGTACCTGATGTAGCGCTGTCAGCCCGTCTACGTTGGCCGTGTTAAGGCGGGCTCCGCGGGCCAGCAGGCGCTTCACCTCCTCGGTGTCTCCGCTGGAGCAGGCGGCCAGAAAGACGGCGCCGTCCTCGAAGCGCACACGGCCCCCACCGCGGTGCCGGCTCCGGGCGGGAGTCACCGGCTCCAGTTCGGTCAAGGAGCCTTTCCAACGTTTCAGCTGCTCTGCCCTACGCAGCCTCGCCGATTCGGCCCGCTTTATCCCCAGGTGGCCCGGTTCCGACATGGTGGCGATAGTGGCAATGACAGCCGACCCTCCCCGTCGGTCTCAGAAGCGCTAGGAGCGCGCTGACTGCCTCAGCCCGCTGGAGAGCGCGACAATCCAACCGCCATCTTCCCAACTCCCCCGCCCCCTCCCGGGAGTTACTGTGGCGCGAGCGTAGAGTTCAGCTTAAAGGATCATGGGAAAAGTAGTTCGAAAGGACTTCATTAAGCGGGTGTCCCAGGGAGGAAGATTGGTCTTCCAAGGATGTCTTGTCTCCCTGAAGTCGGAATTAAGGGAGAAGTGTTATAAGCCAACCGTTTTGCTGACACGAAAAACAAGTTATTGTGATTATTACCCACTTTCAATAAGCACGTTTGAACATTTTTCCCAGCAGCAGGTAATTCTTGCATACCTTAAGGCAGTATTTCTTAAACGTTTTTGCTCTCAGCACCCTTCTCATTTTTAAAAACCTTGAGAACTCCAAAAGAGCGTTGTGTGCATTATAATCACTAATGTTTAACATATTAAAAATTAAAATTGATGCATTTGTGGAATATGCATTTATTGAATCACAAAAATAAGCATATTAAAGTAAACTCATTTGATATTAACATAAATATGTTGATCATTTAAAAATACACATTTTAGCAATAATAATGAGAAGAGTGACATTGATTTAAATTTTTGTAAATACTTTTAATATCTGGCAAATAATATATAACTTGATTGAGGTTACACCACACCTGACCTCTTAATAGCATCTTTGGTACTACATTAAGAAAAGTAGTAGTCAAACCAAATACAAATTACATTTTAACTAGATTAAATTTAAGTATAGTTAGTACAATTGGTTCCCAAATGTTTACTTAATAATTTCTTGCTTTTAGATAAAAATGCACAATTTGGTGACAGCTTTTGAATATCTCTGGGAGCCACATATAAAGCTTTCAGAGGTAAATGTAGCCTTGGAGTCTCAAGATTGAGCCCCTGTAAATTATCAGAATTAAATGGCAACAAGGAAGGTTTGAATTGATGGGCTGTTTCCACTGACTTAGAACACACATAGAATTAGCCAGGTCACTTGCTCTTTATTCAGAATAGTATAGATTAATCTATGCAGCGTTTAAAATGAACATGGATCATAAATATAATAAAGAATGGAAAAATAAGAAGGAAGATCACCTAGTTCAAAAACCTATTCAATGAAGGAATCCACTAGTACAACATTCCCAATAGATTCATTCATTCATTCCATTTATATGGCTGCCCATCTCAAACAGATAATTCTGGGCAGCCTCTGTTGAGACATTCCAGTGAAGAAGAATCTACTATCTTCCCAGATGGTCATTGGTGAGGAACTCTTGATTAGGAAATGTTTTCTGATCTCCAATCAAAATCTATTTCCTTATGGTTTAACTCCCTTGTTTCTTGTCCTCCCAACTAGAATATATCTGCCACATCTTCTTCAGGCTTTCAGATACTTGAAGATAATTATAGCTAACAGTGTCTCCAACTTTTTCTGATGAGTTTCCTTCCAATCCTTTTATCATTTTGATTACTCCCTATTTGACATGCTCCAATTTATCAAATGTCTTGTTCAGAAAATTCGACCAATCCAGAAGAGAGAGAAATAAGTGCTTTTCTTGATGTTTACACTTTAGTAGTCTTACTTATATTATGGTGTTGGCTCAAATTCAGCTTTTGATTCACCAATTTTACTTGAATCCTTTTCACATGTACCATTACCCAGTATATCTCCCCTATATTTATGATTTTGTTGTTTTTCTGCCCAAATATAGAGTTGCATTTTTCCTGTTGAAATTAAACTTTCTGGTTTTTATCTATTTTTTTCAACTTGCCAAGATCCTCCTAAATCCTGATATTGTCTTCTAAGTCGTATATAAAGAAATCTAAAGCTCTTTTTAGAGAGAAAACCAGAGAAAAATATGATTTGAGGAGTTCTGCTGTAATCCTGTTGCTATCATACTATCTTTGCTAGGAGAAAGACTACCTTCTCTTCTTTGTTTTAAAGTTGACATAATCCCCAAGCTCTCTTTCTTGCTTTTAGCTTAACTTGTGAATCTAAGTTGTTTTAGCATTTTAGATATTCTTGTAAAATGATGATCCTTTACTAACTGTAAGCCTCACCGTAGAGTTTCATCAGTAATTTAGAAAACTTGCTGTTCTGGAAAGTTAAAAGAATGAGAATGTGTGCTTCAGCAGTATAGTTTTCACATTAATTAACATGTTTGTTTATTTAAATTCTTTTAATCTTGTTAGCGCCATCTTGTGGGTGAGGTAGCTCTTAGCATTTTAGGCTTTATGTTAGAATAAAATAATTGATCTAAAAAGTGTCTTCCTTTGAATTACCTGGTATCATTTATAGAAAACATTAATTTTATAAATATGTTAGGAAATTCCTACAGCAAGACAGAGAAAGCCAGTATACTATAATGCTCTATGTTATATTTACAAATGTAGGCATTGCTATGGCTTTCATATATACTGACCACTGTGAAGCAACAACTATGTATTTGTCGACTTCGGGCAGACATTATTACTCTTAACTCAGAAATTAGAATTGAAAGTGTTACTTTTTTTTCCTTTGAATATCTTTGCTTTCTTCAGCTATTATTATGTTGTTTCCAAATGTTATCTGGAGCAGTCTTTGTGCTATAAAATGTGCAGTTCTTTTTTTGAATTTTCTGATTGTTCACTATTGCTAATACAGTTTGTCAAATGGAGAATTTAGCTTTTCTGCATGAGATTATTGTTCAACTTGTTTTGAATACTATTCTAAAATTAAGCTGTTATATCAGGTAATGTCTAAGAACAACATTGCTGGCCTTTTATTTTCTGTTGCATGCATTATAGTATGCAAATAGAAAGTATGCAGTTTTGAATATGTATCCACTACAATTAAAAATATTGTGCTTTTAATAATTCATCCTGTTAAACTTTTATTATTTTTTCACCAGGGCAAAACATGTCATTTCTGCTCATGAACTGGAGGTAGGAGGGAGATTTGTGTCATCCTTTGGACATGCTGTTAACAACATGTCCATCCTTTGGACATGTTGTTAACCACCAACCAAACAAAAATATAATGGTAGCGCCTTCATCTTTACTTATCCAAGATGTCCAACATGTAATGTTCATGTTGGATGATACAATAACCCACAAAACAATCTTTGCTCATAGTAATTTTATCATGGCCCTGATAAAAGTGTATTTCAGTCATTCTAGGAAGTGTTTGATCTCTCCTGTTTTTTCTTTAATAATTTTAGCTGCAATAAGAAGATTCTCAGAATCTATGAGATAATACATGACAAAGGAGTCTCCATCTAATCTCCATTTTTCAGAGTGTTTACCTATACAGACATATGCATGACAGTACAACGTGTTGAGTACTATTTTGTGTTGGAAGCACCATGGAATTAATGCCAAAACTACATTGAAGCAGCAGCTGTTTTAACAATGCAAACTTCTGTGAATATTTATGGTAACACCTTAAAATCTTCCTCCATTTCCATTTGTGTATAAGCCTTTCCTAGGCTTAGCAGAAATGTCTCCAGTTCTAGGCAAGAGGCTATTGCTCAGCCTGTAATAGTAAATTAATGATAACTTTAAAATTGCCATTGATCCTGGCAGTTTCGTTCTTTTAGAACAGGGGTCTTCAAACTTGGTCCTTTTATGACTTGTGGACTTCAACTCTCAGAATTTCTCAACCAGCATTCCTGGCTGAGGAATTCTGGGAGTTGAAGTCCACAAGTCATAAAAGAGCCAAGTTTGAAGACCTGTTTTAGAACCAAGCAGCCAGGGATCTAATTAGTTTCTTGGAGAGAGAAAAAAACCCCTGGCTTCCATCCAAACCAACTCACGCTCTACTTTTTTGTGTATGCCTTACAGAGGTGGACATACTTTATGAAAACTTGGGTCTAGCACAGGGGTAGGCAACCTTAGCTCTTTTATGACTCGTGGACTACAACTCCCAGAATTCCTCAGCCAGGCATGCTGGTTGAGGAATTCTGGAAGTTGAAGTCCACGAGTCATAAAAGAGCCAAGGTTGCCTACCCCTGGTCTAGCATTTCATGTAATATGCCTTATCTTTATGTAAATATGGATGTTAATGTGTGGGGATGCTATCTGTGAACACAGACTCAACATCAATACCTTTTTCAACTTACCCTCAATGCTACTTATAGGAAAGCCACATTAATCTATGGTGATAAAAAATTAGAAGTCTTCAGTTCACAAAGTGTGTGCTTTTCAATAAAATCTGTTAATAGGTAAAGACCCTTATTAGCCTTCTAATCCTGTATCACCTCTTCAGCTCATCACAGGTCATTTGTCATTGATTCATTTGTTTTCACAACATATAAATCTAACATATTTTCTTTATTATATTTTATGCTAGTCTACAATTATAACTCTAAAACAAATGATTTTTCTTCCAGTATACTATAAGTTAGATCTCTGTTGTTTAGCATATCTGAAATGCTGCGTAAATTCACATGGTGTTTTAACTTGTTTCAGCAGAACCAATACCCAATTATTGCCATTGGGTATTGCCATTCACTTCTGATATGAGCTGTTTTGCTGGTTTCATTTTAACTTTTTATGGCAGGGGTCGCCAACCCCCAGTCCGGTCCACCACATGCCACAAAGCGGGTCCGCGCAAACCAGTGAAGCCCCATCTGCAGGATGCAAGCAGCATGCAAACCTATACCCCCTCCGGTCTGTGGAAAACCTCTCTCAATGGAATCAGTCCCTGATGCCCAAAAGGTGGGGGACCTCTGTTCTATGGTATAAATTTCCAGGTCAGCTAATAGCTATCCTTGTTTCCCTTTCAGCATCAGTTTTGTCATCCATGGCACACATGATTAAAATAATGAGTTGGTGTTTTGCTTTAGCAAATGACTTGGTTTTTTCCCGAGTAACAGGCTTTCTGAACATTTATTTACATTTTCTGCACATGGCTTCTTCTACTGTAGCACTATTCATTCTGACCTGTTACTTCCTGTATGCTACTATAAATTACTCCCATTTGCTTTCACTCCTAAGTGCTGCTCTATAATACAGTTTCCATGGAGATAGCAACCTCAAATGTTCTTTTAAATGTTAAAGCTGTCTCTGTTAAAACTCTTTTTTTTCTTAGTTTTTCCTTTCAGAATTCCACAGAATAGGCAAACTCTTAAAGTATCCTTCAAGCCTTTGCTGAATTTGCAATGTTCGAACAGCTTTTTAAAAATTTCCTTGCTTTTGAAGATGGGGGAGAAAAAAGAAATAAAAAAGAAATGCACTCCCCTGCCTACAATAATATTGTGGTCTCCCCCTCTCCAAATGAGGTATCCTTAAGGCCTCCAATTGAAAAGCCTATATAGGGGCTAATTTCTCTAGTTCTCACCTGACTCAGTACCAGAGCAATTCCTTCAGCAGAGCCCACTTGGCTTGTTTCTCTGCCAGCCAATCTTAGGCCACAACTTCTGAGAGTTGAAGTCCACACATCTTCAAGTTGCCATGATTGAGAAGCACTGGTCTAGACTCATTCACATCTCCAGGGTCCTCAGCTGGAAATCTTCCAGTACAGTAGTGACTTCTACAGCTGCCTCCATCTCTGGCCAGGCAAATTGTCTACTCAGCATTTGGTTGCTCAGCCTCATTTTTAATGGACAGCATCTCTGGTAAATCTGCAAGAGAAAACACAAAAAGAAAACCGCTCCACACCAAAACCTGACTGTTTTAAGGATCCCCACAAGGAGACATATAGGACTATATGCAGTGGTGGGATTCAAGTGGTTCATACCACTTTGGCAGAACCAGTAGCTAATTTTTTATTGCCCAGGCCCAGAATGGACTTCTGGAAGTGGCAGCCACACAATCCCACCACTGACTATATGCTGGTGACATATACCAATGATACATCATTTTATAAAAGTTCTCTTTCAGGTTATAACAATGTAAATTTCAGTCTTTTCAACTACATTGTTTCCCATTGTTCTCTTTGTACATTGTAACCAAAATGTTTAACCCATTTTATTATACATTCTTTTACTTGTTCATCTTTCCTATGCATCTTGTAATGACTTATATTTAACAATATTCCTTTTAAATGCTGATTTTGATTATGTGATTGTTATTTTCTTATTCTGCCTTGTAATAAAACTTTACAACTCAATACAAATCAGACATTCAGATCTTTCTAGTAAGGAATATTAAAGATTTTCTGCATCACCACATGCAATAAAGAGCCGAGGTGGCTCTTTAGAATGCAGTACTGCAGGCCACTTTAGCTGACTGTGTTCAGCAGGTCAGCGGTTCAAATCTCACCGGCTCAAGGTTGACTCAGCCTTCCATCCTTCTGGGGTAGGTAAAATGAGGACCCAGATTGTTGGGGACATTGTAAATATATATATACATTGCTTACTGGTGTACACCGCTTATAGAGTGCTTGCACTTAAAGCGGTATATAAGTCTCATAAATAAATAAATAAATAAATTTCACATGTGAAAATACAGAAATGTAACTAGAAGTCATTGTGAGGAAGAAATGCTTAAAGCTGAGAAGTACCATTTGAGGAATAGAGACCTTCAACAGCAACTTTCACTTGCATTTTGTCTCTCAGTTTTACTTATTTTTTTTAATCAACCTACCATTGCCAATAACTCATTTATTCTAATTCTAGGGAACCCCATTCCTTGGTTAGAATAAGGCTGTGTATTGCCATTTTAATTTGGAATTGCTTCAAAATAATTGGTTTCAGGTTTAAAATCTGAAATCTGATCTGGATGTTTCCTCCATGATATACAATACTTCTGATTTTAGAAGAAATGACATTTTTGTGTACTTAAATGACCTTCAAAAATCGAGTGTAGTATTACAATTTAACAGCAGGAGGCATCTGCATTCTGATCTCTTATTCAAAATTAGAATGGTTGTGTGTTTTATGATATCAGTTACTCTGTGGGAGGAAAATGTTACTTCATCAACTAATAACATTTTAAACATGTGAATCAATTCTTTGCTTCCTTTAAAAAAACAGCAATAGTAAACAATACAATCATTAAGGTATCTAAAATTCATAAATGAATAAGTAATTCACTGTGTAGTTATTTATAAAGATAACATTTCACTATTTTAGCAATGGGGATAACTAAAAAATTAAAATAATGAAATGTAGAAAGATGCAATGAAATAAACTAGATTTCAAATCCCTCATTTTGCACTTATTACAGAAATACGGCTGCTAAAGATGCCTACACTTTGGTTGTGAAGCACTTGTTGAAAGTCACTGTAAATGTTGTACTTCGGTTCCAACAGCTTCCACAACCCATTAATGAAAGCTAATGGAGAATTCTGGGAGTTGAAATCCAAACATCTTAAAGTTGCCACGTTTGTAAAAATTGGCTTCAAAAGTGCCAAGGTCCCTGTGTTGTTTAAAAACTCGGTTGGGGACTTGGGGGCTTTCCAGATATTGACAGATTTTCAGCAAAAGTGCGCTACCCAGAACAGCAGGGAGTTGTAGTTTAGCAAGTCACAGGTTCCCCATCAGTTTTCAGGTCCACTGGAAAATTCCTTTTAGCTGAAGAGTTGCGTTCTGAAGATCCGTCTTGTCCGGCTCCCGGAGAGGCAGCAAGTCCCGCCTCGTTGCTTGCCAGCCTGCTTCGATTGCTTCAGGAAACACCGGAGGCCCTTGTGATGACATCAGCCCGTTTGTGGTGTTGAGTGCAAAAAAAGGAAAAGAAAGGGTCAACCCCAACCCAACGCGGCCCTCCCTTTCGAGACTCTTCGGGCTGGCTGGGCGCTGCTTGGGGACCCGCCTTCTCCCGGAGAGAACAAAACAACCCTCTTCTCCGCGAATTTCTGTGCCACGCCAGCTCGGGTGCCAGAAACAGGACGTCGGAGCGACCAACGCCAGCTTAACCAGGTAAGGCTTGTGCTTTTGCCGGGATCAATCTCAGCTGCGAGCGATCCGTGTGAAAGGAGCGCCGCCAACCTCTTGCTCCTTGCCTGACTTAGGAAATCCCCACTTGAAAATGGGAGACGATTTGCGCGCCGCTCGCAAATAAACCCACCCAGTAAGTTTTTTTTAAAAAAGGGGGGGAGTTACCGTTAGATTTTCGCTCCCCTACCCCATGAAAAGAGTATTTTTGCTACGTGCCTGATCAGACTCGCTGCTTTATTCCAAAATATTGATCCTCTGCAGCAAAAGCCCCGATGAACCCAATGACTCTGTCTTCTAAAGGGTGCATGAACCGCTAACTTCCTCTAGTTACAGTATTTCCTGTTTCCTCCCCCCTCCCCGTATATGACAGTTCTCAGTCCAGATATTGGCAACATTTCGGGGTCCAGTGAAGTACTAATAGGGTGCCGTTTCCTACACATGTTTGCCTTTGTATTTACCACTGTCGAATCTTTCTTGATATTTAGAGATAGATAACTCGACAGAGTTGGGAAAGCTGTTACCAGGATTCTTGAATGAGAAGAATGTTACAAGCACTCCATTCTTGAGGTGATCAGTCTGTGTGCATTTTACTTCCTTCCTGGTGTTTGAGATTTATGGGAATTGCACTCCTGATACAGTTGGAGGATGTCAGGCTGTGGAATGACACTAGAGTATGTCTTAAGTCATTAGATGAGTTGCAAGAGAGAACATAGTTTGTTTTTGCTAACCTGTAGTGTGAGAGGTTATTGTAGTTAGTAAACTGTAGTTTGCTTAATCTGTGTGATCTGGCCTACCATAGTTTCATCAATAAACCATAATTAAAAATACTGGCATAGGGTGAGAGGCACATTTAGCTATTTAGTTGATGGGCATCTGCTAACTTTATCTTGCTGAACTTCTGTTTAATGCAGTAATTTACAAACAAAAAAGATTATTAAGAAGATTATTCTATCAAAGGAGAAAACAGCCAGCTATCTACCCTATAACCCAAAGAACCTGATTTCATGACCAAACTTCTTTTACTTGAGATTTTTTTTTATGTTCAGATGAAATCTGTAGACTATTCTAGTAGACTACAACCTAAATGAGATTCTCACTGTCATGAAAAAAGTGGCCTTTGCTACATTACTTTTTAAAATATAAAACTGATGAAATTTTAATGGCCTCAGGTGCTTATCTCTAGAGTTCTTGATAAAATCCTTGATCTGAATAACATAAAAAATGTCTTCTATTCTTTAACAAAATGCTTAAGGTTATTATTTCTAGCACTTTAATTATAAATTATCAGTCTGACTGACAAGGTGATCTGAGCTGAGACAGCCTTGGACTCATTCTTTCAGAACTGCAGAATATGCTGTACACCCACTGCTAGCTTAGACACTGAGGATATTCAGTCTGTGATTATGTCTCTTTTCTCTGATTTTCAAGGTGAATACACCATATGGGTAGAGTCTGTATCTCATTAAAGATATGATAAACACTTTTACTGAAATGGAACTATATTTTTATGTGAGAAAGAAGAGAATATTATGGACTGGGGAAAAGTGAAAATAGCTCCCATACATAGTAATGTGCCATGCTATTTTAAATAAATAAATAAATAAAGGAAAATGCCAGTGTAAATTGTACTTTACACTTAACTCCAGCCCCTATATTCATAATGCACTGGGATCGTTTGCATTTTATAGTTTATCTAACCCTCCACTTTGTTTTAAGATGCATAAATAATACTAAGTCTAATATCATGAGGCTCACATTTTTGTACAGAAATGAGAGTAAGTGCTAATATCTGGTTTTATATATTGTGCTGAGCTTGGCTTACAAATCACAATAGCTAAGCAAACAACAATATAATATAGCCTGCTATATAAACTTTGTCAGTGGGTTCACACATCTTGGTAAACCATGGATTGTTTTAACCACAGTTCATTGAATACTCCATAAAAGGGACCAGCATCTATCATGCTTGTGGTACAATAGTGCTATATAGGAATAATGTCATCTTACTTGGTGTAGTACAGTTCTTCTTAAGAATTTGACTCATCCATAATGCTAAAGGATGTCCATTTATGGTAAAAATTCTGTTACTCAATAGTCTGATCAGTGACTATTTCTACCGCAATAGACTAAGCTTTGAAACTTGCTAAGAGCAACAGACTGTAAACTTTTAACATGTTGACATAATAACCAAAGAAAACAGTTTTGCTTCTGGTTGTGTTTTTATATGGATTTTTTTTATTTTTTTAATATTTGAATGATAGCTGTGTCTCTGCACAGCTTTGTCTGACAGAATGAAGAGGCTACCTGAAATTAGATGGCAAATCTCTGACTGGATTAACATGTGCTCTCCTGTGCTTATTTGAGTTTTGTTGAACTGGCTGGTTTCACGCAGTAGGCTAAGTTGTTAACTATGGTTTCAATGTACAATTATTAGAGTAACACAAGACATTAAGTCAAAACCAAACTTGGTTTCCTGTTATAGTATTCTTTCAATATCTGTTTCTCATCTATAATGAAAACATCAGTTATATGTATTTTGTATGTTTGTGTGTGAAGGAGACCAGAATAGGATTGTGAGGAAGCAAATTTAGATGCTTCTTAAATGAGAAGTATTAAATAATCAACATACGGCAGTATCTGGTTGATTTTTGGAGTTCAGAAATTAACCCATATGATACTGGAGGGGCTATAGGTTAGACTTAAAACTTGAATATAACCCAGAATAAGGCAGTGACAAAGCATTTTTGTATTGCTGCCAAAAAAACCCCTATATGAATGTGTTTGAAGGATCAGAATTGGATTCCAAAGAAATTGGTTTTTATTAGCAATTTAAATGGAACACGATGTAGCAATTCCTATTTATTCTCAAAAAGTGTAAGGTGAGCTTCTAATCATCTTTCTCTACAATTGCAGCAGGATAAAAATTTGCATCTGCCTACAGCAAAACAAAAGAAAACAATAGGGTAAAGCAACTGTTTCCTATACAGTGGAGAACATGGATTATTTAGTCCAGACCCAGACTTCCCTTATATGTGAATTAGCATGTATCTATAATCTTAAATAAGGAAAAGTAGAATATACCATGAGTCAATCTCTGGTGATTACATGAACCACGCCCATGTACTTTTCTTAGTAATAATGTGTGAAGGGTATTTTCCCCCTTTCTTTTTTTAGTCTAATCTACTCTCTAGCCGTCTGAAACCAAAGTTTTCAAATAAGTACTGAATTTCCCAATATTAATTTTCTTGTATTGAGGTTGTCTTCTTATTCATACTTTTCTGGTATTACAATATCTACAGTTACTAGAAGGATTCATATTCTGATTCTGATGTTCTCAGAAAACAACTTGATTATAAACAGTTAAAACTTTAAATTGTTTTTTTAAAAGATTGGGGGAAAGATGGAAAGGATCATCTATAGCAGCGGTTCTCAACCTGTGGGTTGTGACCCCTTTCGGGGTTGAACGACCCTTTCACAGGGGTCGCCTAAGACCATCGGAAAACACATATTTCTGATGGTCTTAGGAACCTGTCTCGCTTTAAACTCCCCCTAAAATTCTTCATTCAGGCAGACTTCCAGAGTTCAGCCAGCAGAATGCAGGTAACCCCTCCCCCCTATCCTGCCACCTCCCACCGTGCCGCTCCGCATCCCGCGCCTTAAGCCTCTGTGGCACAGAACTGCTGGTGTGGTCCCCAATGGCCGCTGACGTGCTCCCTGCCGCCAGCGACCATGCAAGCCCTGGCAATTGCTCCAGCTGAAGAAGCGGGAGGCTGCCGCGGTGCCGATCTTCTGCACCTGTCAGCTGATGACCCCCTTAATGTGTGCTTGTCAGCTGGGAGGTCTGGCGACGGAGCTGGCCGGCGTGGAAAGCGATGGGGAGGTGGTGGCTCAGTAGGCGGGTTCCTGCCTGCCCGCGAATGTCGGGCCCACGGGGCTCGACACAGAGTCGACAGTCCAACATAACTTCCTTCCTCGGATGAGAAAGAAGGAATCTCTCCCACCCATGTCCCTTCCCCCCCTCAAGCGACAACAGGAGGTTGCAGACAACTAAGTCAGCCGGTGCAGGAAGCCCTGGAATGGCCAGTCCAGGGCTCCTGGTTGCAGTGCTGGATGTTTTTTGCTCCTCCTAGAAGTCGGTGGCAAGAAAAAGAAGTCGTTCAAACTTCAAGCTAGCTGCTGGATGCCTGTTTGCACTTTTTTTCTTTTCTTTTCTTTTCTTTTTTTTTGGAGTACTTGTCTGCCAACCCACCCCACCTATAAAAGAAAAAGTCTTCCACCCAAGCATAAGTTTTAAGGATTTTAAGGATCTTTGAGAGGAAGAGAGGGAAGAGAAATAGAGAGAGGGAGAGAAAGAGGGAATGAGAAATAGAGAGAGGGAGAGAGAGAAAGATAGAGAGAGAGAAAGAGAGTGACAGGGAGAGAGAGAAAGAAAGAGGGAGAGAGAAAGAGGAGAGGGAGAAAGGGAGACAGAGGGAGAGAAAAAGAGGGAGAGAGAGAGAAAGAAAGGGAGAGAAAGGGAGAGAGAAAGGGAGAGAGGGAGGGAGAGAGAGAAATAGAGGGAGAGAGAGGGGGAGAGAAAAAGGGAGAAAGAGGGAGAGAGAAAGGGAGAGGGAGGGAGAGAGGGAGAGAAATAGAGGGAGAGAGAAAGGGGGAGAGAGAAAGAAAGGGAGAGAGGGAGAGAGAAATAGGGGAAGGGGGGGGGGCTGGCAAGACTGATGTCTGAATTTTCTGAGTCGGGACCACACCTGAAAATACTGCATCCAATTTTGGTCATCACACTACAAAAAGGATGATGAGACTTAGTTGCAGAATTTGGGTTTGACTAGTCTAGAGAAAAGAAGGACTTGTGGGAGACATAATAGCAGTATTCCAGTATTTGATGGGCTGCCATAAAAGAGAGGGTCAATTTATTTTTCAAAGCAAGGAACATTCCATTTCCAACAACATATCTTTGTGAAACAGGATTTTCCAGCTTGTTGGTT